GTCCCACCTTTAAATTACCATTATTCTTCTCATGATCACTTAACGCATCCGACGTTGATAGACCGCCGCCTATAATTAAAAAAAAAAGAAGCAGATCGTCCGCAGCAATAAAAAATTCAGCCTCCCCTGATATACAGGGTGTCCCAAAAATGTCTCGCAATCCGAGAATGGGAGGTCCCTCAGGTAATTTGAAGTAAGTTCGTCCTTGGCGAAAATGCAATCCACGGCTTTGTTTACGAGTTATTCACGAAAAAGAGTGACCAATGAGAGGTGAGATATGCCGGCGCAAGGCGGCCGAGCCAACGAGCGGAACTGGGCTTCGCGCGGTCATTGGCTCGGCCGCCAAGCGCTAGGCGAGCTCTCGCCTCTCATTGGTCAGTGTTTTTCGTGAATAACTCGTGAACGAAGCCACGGGTTGCATTTTCGCTAAGGAGAAAGTTACTTCGAACGATCCCAGGAACTTCTCATTTCCGGTTTGCGAGACATTTCTGGGACCACCTGTACACATCTGAAAATAAAAAAAATACATATATTAAGCATCCAATGTCAGGAGCACCCTTCTGCAAGCTCGGGAGAACGAAACGAAGGGAAAAGCCTCTCTGAACGCTGGTCCAAGCCCGGTTGACGTATCGTTCCACGTGGAGGCGTACTCCACGGTCCATGTATCGTATGATTTATAGCGGTAAGATAATCAAAAGCGAGGGCACGCCGCATTTTTATACCGACGGAGCAGAAAACACGTTTTACGTCACGCCGTTTCGGGGCAACGCGTTCCTCGGCTATCAGCATCGCGTATTGTTTTGCTTCTCGCGGGGTTATGATGACGTAGGACGGGTCACGCTAAAGGGGTAAGGCACCATTCGGCGCGCAGCGATTGGTCCGCTTCGAGATCGCACCACCCATAAGTCGTGCAACGTTATCCCGAAATAACGATAAAATATAATTGCATATTTTCTTTCGCGATCCTCTTGGTAAGGCGGTCGATGTTTGCCTGTCACGGTACACCGATAACGATAACGCCTTCTCCACCCTTCTCCAGCACCAGTTATCATCGTCGAGCGATCCCTTTTCCGAAACCGCGGGCGTCTTCGAACGATTCGGACAGGTCGCGTACTCGTTCCGAGACCTCGGTGACTTCTGCATTTATTTCACAGCGTTCAGGGTGGGTGCACCTTTATTTTCGACCAATATTCCGGACATGTGCTAATCGAGACACGGTTCTACAGCCGTTAGTGGGCAAATCTTAACACGTTCCGTGCCACGTGTACCATCGATGGTACACGCTTGCATGTTTACTTAGTGAACCGAACAAATTGTTTACAAGAAATTTAGAACCGAAGAATCAATTTCCACCGCAAGAATGGGCGTTGATAAGTTTTTGTTACGTTGTTATGTGTACGAGAATTAATAATTGCACGTAATACATCAAGTTTTAGTCAAATATCAAAGTGTGAAGATTCGAGTAAAAAAAGCTCGGCACGGAACGTGTTAAGCGATCGTATCTAATCCTCTTTCTTTTTTTTTGTACGAATTGGCGATGATATTGTTTGGAAAATGTATTAAAATTTTGCTTTTAAGTAATATTTTGCTTAATCCGACAAGACTTAAAAAGCGGTTTTGTGCTCTGCGAAGTGCTATTCAATCGAGGTTATCCGACTAGCTACAACTATTTATTTTTAATGATAGCAATTCCGATAGTAAGCCTGTAAGCACACGTAAGTTAAAAAGCTGAAGCAGATAAAGTTTATGATATATAGCTAGAGTGCGGATTTGCATGCGAAATTTTTACTTTACCGGAACAACTGCAATTTTAATGATTACCTTATTAATATTTATTATTAATATTTAATTATTAATTTCAATTTATCATCAATATTTAATTATTCATTTCAATTTATCATCAATATTTAATTATTCATTTCAATTCATCATCAATATTTAATTATTCATTTCAATTTATCATCAATATTTAATTATTCATTTCAATTCATCATTAATATTTAATTATTCATTTCAATTTATCATCAATATTTAATTATTCATTTCAATTTATCATCAATATTTAATTATTCATTTCAATCATTTCAACAAGTTGAAAATGATATAATAATATTTATAAATTCTTTCAAGATTTTCCACTCTCCCGTGCTTGGTGCAATGATTTATAAATATAAAAAAGAATCCAATAAGCTGAACAAAAATCTCAGAAACTGGACTCGCAGAATGTTAAGAGAAAAGAAGGACAGCTCGTAATCGAATTTCTTCGATTCATCGAAAGTATCTGTCTAGTCGTAATATAAGACGATCGGAAGCCGAGGAATTCTCGCGGCAGAGTGTTCGGAGTCCTCGAATAGTAATCTTTCAATTCGTGGAAGCAGGAAAGTAGGTCGTGGATCTAAAAGTCAGTTTCAGAGCAATAAGAAAATTCGAGGAAAGCACGACAGAGGCGGTTCAGGTTTCCCAGGAGAGCGAAGAACGAACGAAATCCGGTATCGAGCTCGCGGCTGTCACAGTAGAGTTGCTCGAATGTAATCGCTCCGGTATTACGTCAAGCGCCATTATCATCTCGCATTTTCTCCACTTTTCTCTCTTTTTTTTTCGTTTATTGTTGCGGTTCCGCGCTAGTGGCCTAGCAACGATAGAGTAGAGGAGCACCAGCACAAGCTGGTATCACTGATAAGAGACGATAATGATCTCGCATTATACACGAGTCGCCATCGAATTCTGATCGGATCGCGGCTCTACGATACATGCATAATTCAGGCCTGATCTCACGGATCGTTTCGGCCCGAACAGCAGTTTCTTCTTCTCCCCTGTTCCTTCGATCCGAGTTTACGCAGGGCGATCTCCAGCATCCGAATCGAAACCGAGTCGAGCGTCGGAATATCCACGAGATAAAACACAAATCGTCCATTCTCATTTAATTCGAGCTGAATCTAATTGCGTGGCCGAGGCCAACCGAGTTCACTAAGT